GTGTGTTGGTGGAGTTGAGGAGGTCTTTGAAGTATTTTGCCCACCGAGTCACAATGTCCCGAGTTGAGGTCAACAGTACACCATCCCCACTGAACACATTGTTAATAGTGCACTGCTTCCCCAACCTGAGACATCAGATGGTGGGCCAGAATTTCCTCAAAGCCGTCTGGAAGTGACCTTCCCTGGCCTCAACAAACTCTTCACATGCCAGAGTTTTTGCCTCAGCATCTGCCAAAGTTGTGTTCCGCTTGGTCAGCCGGTACCCATCAGTTGCCTCTTGAGTCCCACAGGTCATAAAAGCCTGATAGGACTCCTCCTTCAGCTTGACGGCATCTCTTACCGCCAGTGTCCACTAGCCAGTTTGGAGGTCGCCTCCACGCCACGCGCCACACCCCCATACGGCCACCTCAACAACTCCGATCGGCCACCTCAACAATAGAGGCACGGGACATGGTCCACTCAGACTTAATGTCTCCCGCCTACCCAGGAACGTGAGAAAAGCTCTGCCGGACGCGGGAATTGAAACTGCTTCTGACAGGGGATTGTGGCAGATGCTCCCACCAGACTCTCACAATACTTTTGGGTCTGCCAGGTTGGAGTGGCATCTTCTCCCACCATTGGAGCCAACTCAGCACCAGGTGGTGATCAGTTGACAGCTGTGCCCCTCTCTTCACCCGAGTGTCCTGAACATGCGGCCTCAATTCCGATGATACAACCAGAAAGTCACTCATTGAAATGCCCCAGGGGTATCCTGGCGCTAAGTCCACATATGGACACCCTTATGTTTGAACATAGTGTTCGTTATGGAGAATCCCTGATGTGCATAGAAGTCCAATAAAAAAAACACAACTTGAGATGTGATCAGTTCCTCCGAATCATGCCATTCTGGGTCTCACTGGCATTGCCCATGTGAGGATTGAAGTCACCCAGCAGAACGAGGAAGTCCCCAGAGCGAGCGCTCTGCAGCACAACCTCCAAGGACTCCAAAAAGAGTGCCTACTCTGAGCTGCTGTTTAGTGAATAGGCACAAACAACAGTCAGGTCCCGTCCCCCCAGCTGAAGGCTCTACACTCTCTAGTTCACCGGTGTGAACCCCAATGTACAAGCACTGAGCTGGGTGGCAATGAGTATGCCCACACCTGATTTGCGCCTCTCACCGCGGGCAACTCCAGAGTGGAAGAGAGGCCAACCCCCCTCAATAGAGTATGAATAGTTCAGGACCAAGCACAGACCCTTGGGGCACCCCATCAGTTAGTGTCAACTCACGAAATTTGAAATTGTTGAACTGTACATAGTGATACCTGTCATCTACATAACTTTTCAACCATTTATGTGCCAAACCTCTTATACCATATCTCTCTAATTTTTCCAGTAATATTTTATGATCTATTGAATCAAAAGTTTTTTTTAGGTCTATGACAGTGATGTGTTCCTCGAGCCGGTCCTTGGCTTCGAGGACCGGCTCGAGGACCGAAGGTTGGTCCTTGGTCCTTGGCCTTGGCCTCAGGAGTCAAGTCCTTGGCCTTGGCCTTGGGAGTCAAGATCTTGGCCTTGGCCTCGGATTGCCGGTCCTCGGACTCAATGAGGGATTTAGAGCCTCGAATCCCTTGTCCACAGTTATAAAGTGGGTCCGAGTACCGCAAAAATCACGAAGGAATCAAATAAATTCCATCCAGGGAAACCAATATTGATAGATTGAGCTGGCGCTTTAAAAGGGGCGGGTCTGCCACTGACAGGTAACAGTTAGCGCAATGAATAAAGAGCGGCTTCACAGTTAGTTTCAATCACGGTTTGTTCCGTTCGCGATCGGCAGTTTAAATAGCGTGTAAAGTCTTTCTGTAACAGTGGTGTCTTTTATGTAGTTATTTTTACACAGTCGTCACGTTTGTGCGGTGGCACTAGAATGTTTGTTTGAACCAAGTAATTTGCGTTACAGCTGGAGTCAATAATGCCGGCACTTCATTTCCGGGTTTGGCCGTTGGGATTTGGAGTCCTTTTGCTCGATTCCAGTAATGGTTGCTGAATGCTTTCTCATGTTTGGAATAATGAATATTGATAATACATAGTTTAAAATCATGGTTGATTTAATTATTTTTTAGTATTATTGTGAAGTTGAAGGTATTAAATTAGTGGGAGTGGTAATAATAGTAGTACTCAGAGAATGTTTAGAGATCAGCCATCTCGTTACCTCTGCGTCCCGCGTTCTAGACGCAAAATTAACCCACGGGACGCACAGTTCCAAACAATGTGCGTTTTTGGGACGCAAGGAAATTTCT